CCAGTATTAATCGTAACAGAGTTTGTAGGGTTATTGGGAGACAGCATGATTAGTGTCAGCAGACAGGCACGAGAGGCACTAAAATTGGTAAATGTGAGTCAGTGGGAACAAGCATGCTTGATTCAGAAGGTTGTGGGTTCAAACCCTGCTCCAGTCTTGAATTCATTATCTGAGCTGATGATTTAGTGTAATGCTGAGTGAGTGCTGCACTAAGAGGGTGCTGTCTTTTGGATGAGATGTTAGATGAAGGCACCATCTGCTCTCTCAGTTGGATGTAAAAGATTCCATGGAATTTTTCAAAGTGGAGTGGGGAAGTTAGTCTGTTTTACTGGTCAATATTTATTCTCAGTCAACACCCAAGGACAATGATCTTATTTGTCATTTATTTCATTTGAGGTTTGTATGATTGCTTTACCCTGAGAGGCAGTTGCAGGGTCATTGCTGAGTTCCTAGTTCATGAGTACTGGCAGTCCTATGCCAAGGATCAATTCTTGTGAGAGTGTAAATAGAGACTATTGACTAGTTATATCTCTCACATGGGCAGTATAGTTGAAAGTGATCCTGTCCTGACCTGTGTATTATGAAATGTAAATAATAATTTAACTTGGAATTTGACTTCTCTGTTGAAAGAAGTAAAATCCAACATGGGGTGATGGAAAGATATAAGTAAATCTAATTGAGGTAGTTTTTGTAGCAGTATCTGGTTAGCCTGTGAGTTGAAAACCCCATTAAAGTGCTGCAGTTGAGGCCATTCAAGTAACCATTTTCTTTAACCTATATTGAATGTAAACATTTTTTTAACGCGTCATATCCTATGAAATACATGGTTTGATTTATTAGTCTGGAGACTAACTGAGATAGCTGGGCCTCACTGACTATGATCTCGCTGTGTTGCTGTTCAAAACAATGATTATTACGCTTGAATCAAAATAGTAATGTTCTCTGATAGTTTAGGATATCTATATAGAATAGTTTCTGGAATCAAGAGTATAAAAATAATCTTGTGAGCATAGCTGTACTGAATTGTATGGGAACTGCAGCACAGCTGTGTACAGTGTGTTAAGCATCCAAAAGCATGTTTTTGTACAGATGAATGCCGCCAAGTGGATATGGTTACAACTCCGTATTCTCTGGAAACTGACTATGCATTACCAAACAAGCCTTGCCATATAGTGTCTTACGGCGCAGAAAAAAACCCTTTGGTCCAACTTGTCCATGCCGATGAGATATCCCAATCTGACCTAGTCCCATCCATCCAGATGCCTTTTAAAACATTGTACTTGTGCCCACCACCTCCTTCCTCTGGCAGCTCATTCTAAACCTGTGTCCTCTAGTTCGGGACTCCCCATCCGAGGAAATAGGTTTCCCACTTTTAATTGCCAGTTGTATTGAAAATATAAAATTCTTGATTTTTTTTGTTTGTCTTGAATTGAGCATAAACACAGTAAATCTGAGAAGAAAAAGTGACTCCCAAAGTAGAGCAAATTTGTAATTCTCTTTTTCTCATTTTCATTCATTGTAACCCTCCTTTACTATACACAGGGTCCAGTGACAATGCTTGCCAAAGTAACCCCTGAATGCTATCAGCAAACCATTGTGGCTTTGAGCCATATTTACTATAAAATAGATTTCATAGTGGTAGGTAAACTCCCATGTTTGGGTTATTCTGTCAGGAATATTTGAAAATCGCCAGACCAGTTTATACTCCATTCAAGCAAGAAGTTGAATAATGCTGTTTTATAATTCTGCCAAAAGTTATCAGAGCAGCTTGTTTGGGGATTTTGGAAATAGATTTCAAAAATAACATTTTCTGAATGTTACAACATACTGTGGAAGTTATTTATTTGAAGAGGGCTGTGGGGATAAATATCCCTTCAATGAACTGCTGTGTTAGCTTCTTTAATAGCTTAATGTATATAGTGCTGTCTTGTGTGATACCGAACTATACAAGTGTAGAGAGAATCTGATAAAATCACCATTTGTAAATGCCGATGGTTGGTGTTAGAGATGGCAAAATTGATATTGGTGCCCCTAAACTGGAACAGTGGAGTTTCGATTTCTGATCTGATGTCCTGTCACCCATGTTCAGATATCTAATGAGGACAGAATTGAGCCTTGCTGTAAAGCTCTCTACCGTTGAATAACCTGTTATAATGAAAAGTAAATACCTGGGGAGGGTGTCATCTGGTTAATAGTACCTTGCTTTTAGAAAAAGGATACAAGACATTATAAAAAATTCGTTTCATGTGAAAAGAAAACAAAGAACAGTGGTGCTAGAGATCTGAAACACACACATTCCTGGAAAAAACAACGCATCAGCTTCCACTTAGGATCATACAACTTTCAGGAATCAATATAGAGTTTAATAATTTTAGAACATGAGCACCTCCTTCCATGTATGTTTCTCATCTCCACATTCCAGAGTCATGACGTGGGTTGTTTTCAGCACAACCAATCCATTTTCACCTACTCGTAGCCCCCATTATCACTTATTTAGCTTCCCTTCTTTCCTGACTTAATGTCAACAATCCCCTGGTCTGCCTCATTTTTGTTTTGCTCTCAGCGTCTGTCTTCACACACCTGTTCAATCCTCTTCCTTTCCACCCCACCAACCCATCATCAGCATAAATATCAACTTTTCCTAACTGCAATCTGTTGTGAAGAAGGGCCACTGGACTCATAAACTTACTCTGCTTTCTCTCCACAGATACTGCCAGACCTGAGTTTCTCCACCATTTTTCTTTTGTGTTTTTCATTTCAGATTCTGTTCAAGTAAAGGTTTCATGTGGGTCTTGTGTTGTATGATGTGTTTAAGTTTGTGTGGTGCTTAAAAATAATCCTGTAACATTTCTAATAAAGTTAAAGGAAGACATGTTCAAAATGTTGGATCCTTGTGCAAGGACCTGGAGTTCAGTTTCTGGTGTTTATAGTGGCACAACCTTTGACCTTGGCTGTAATACTTCAAATTAAATTAAGTATTCTGTGTATGATTGATTCAGAATGGGGGTAATTTTAATGTAACTTGCATGGTGAAAGACTGATGGTTTTGGATTGGCTATCTTTGTTACACCACTCCAAATTTTCTTCCCATCGCTGGGATGGTTGAGATTAAAATTGCTGTTTGATTTTTAAAAATAGTTCAAACCACAGAGTATTTTGGACTTTATAGAGAAAATGTTGGATGTCTATCACCTGCAAAATTACTCATGATTCATACAAATATCCTGAAATTATGTTGTTTTGTCACTTACGATTTATGTATGTCTTTAGTTTTGTGATAATTTGTAAGTTTTGATTCAGATGGAAGATTTTTGACAAAATGAAAGGAATAAACAGCTATTCACACAATTATGAAAGATAGCAATAACCTTTTCAGTCCCACCTCTAATCTAAGCTCGTTTTAGTAACACAAGACACGCATCATCCTTTCCCAAACATCATTCTGGGTTTACCAGAAAACTAACTATGCTGGTGTCCATAATGAGAAAAGTCCTGTGCTTTTATCTTTGAATACATATTTCTCTGTTTCTGCCAACACCTAAAAGTTACCAAACAACTTGTGCGTCTCATCTTAAGTTTTTTCGAGTATTTTAAATGAAGTACAAATGAAAGGAGCTGTTCTAAATGCAAAACCTTTTTACAAGCATAAAATTGAATTCTCATTTGACGAAGGGTTTGTGATCAAATAACTGTGGACTAAGAATAACATTTCCTGCAGACAATAAGGTATTCAGTAGCAGGAGCAGGATTAGGCCATTTGGCTCATTGAGCACATCATCATTTAATAAGATTGTATCCAATCTAATTGTGGATTTAACAGGATTTTCCTGCCAGTTGCCCGAAACTCCTTTTTTGTGTCAAAAATCTGTTTATCTCATCCTCAACCAACATACTTTACTCATTGTGGAAGAAAGTTGCAAAAGTTAGCAACACTCTGAAAGCAGAAATTCCTTCACATCTCTGTATTAAAGGGAGATCCCTTAACTGTAAACTGTTCGCTCTGGTCTAGACTCTTTGACAATAAGAAACATTCTGTTAGGGCCTACTGTGCTCACTTTTGACTTTGTCTGCTTTTCCATTCACTTGTTAAAACTCATTTTCTGCTTATCCTCCATCTGTCAAATTTAACCTATTGTTATCCTTTTGCAGACTTCTTGTATTCTGCTCCTCGACTACATTTCTACCTAGGTTTTTATTATCCACAAATTTGGCTGCAATACCCTTGGTCTTTATATCGAAGTTATTTGTGTGGAATGCAAATTGTTGAGGCCCCAATAGCTGATCCCTGTCGAACTCCAGGGAGTTACAATTTGCCAACCTGAAAATGACTTATTTATCCTGAGACAGTTTTCTCTCTAGTTAATATATCACCCCAACACCACAAACTATTGCAACCTTTAATGTTGCATCTTATCAAATGTCTTTTGGAAATTAAAATGCCTATCTGCACTTTCCCATTACCTTGTTATATCCCAAAGAACTTTAATAAATTATTCAAACATGATTTCCCTTTTGTACAATCTGGCAGAGTCAACACAATTTATATGATTTTCTAAATATTCTGCAACCATCTCCTGATTAATGGATTTTAGAAATTACTGCTCTTCTGTACTATATCAAGATTTGGATACATTGTAATTTCATCTTTTGTACAGGATAATGAAAAGTATACTTAAAGTAAAATACAGTCTGAAATAAATTCAGTACTCAATGGATTCAAGGTTGACTATGACTTTGTCTCCTAAGATAATCTTGTTGAATGACGGTAACATCTTTTCAATGTGTCCTTTCTGTTAATAATTCAGTTGATTTCTGTATTTGCTGCGGTTAATTCTGAGAGCTTTATTGAATGAGATGTTTGGAATCAATTTCTGATTTGCATCAGGTGTTCAGAACAATGCAAGACTTGGCACTCACTGACAGATTGTATTTGTTGATTGTTATTCCATTAATAAGGTGTTTTTTATAATATTCTGACATTTTAAAATTTTACTTTTTAGATGGCGGGAACGAGGAACAATCAGAACGGAGACAAACAAGCATAGATTCTCGACAGAATCGGTCTGGGCAAGGTAGGCACCCAGCATTTATCAATTTCAGAACTAGGGAACAGTGCAAGGCATTGTGAAATAATGGAGTCATAACAGAGCCAGAATTGGAGGTGCTACATTAAAATTTGGTAATGAAATCAAATTGAGAGGGGGTTGGGGGGTGGTGGTGGTGATGGGGTGCTATTATCCAGATAATCTGGAAATTAACAGACTTCCAGAACAGATATGTAAATAGCAAATTAATTTCAATATATTTCAATGTGGCGTGCTACATGAGGACAGGGGGAATCTGGAAGCCATGTGGTCCTTGGATAATAGTCTAAATGGGATAATGGTGCAGAGCGATATGGGCACAGATACACTAATGCTGTGTGTACTCGGCACGTCTGGCAGCCACTGTGGAAAAAGAAGCACGGTTAATGTTTCAGGCTTATGATTTTCATCAGAGCTGAAATAAGAAATGTAACTTCCAATGAACGTTTACTGCGAAAAATCCATTGGCCCGGATCTTTCTTACAACAGCAAAACTGTTTTACTTTGCTAACTGAATTTTAATTTGCGTTCTTACTTTTTTTCAATTGTTGAGACCTAGTAGCAATGCATTGTTAAAGGACCCATGCTGCCTTAGATATCGTGAAGTGGTTTACAGCTGATTTTTAATCTCATTCTACCTCCTAAACCACCTGCCTTCACACCCCTCCTGGCAGCCCACCTACCATTATCCCTGGCTCCAATCGACTGTCATTGCTCCTCGCTTCTCCAAATGGCTCCAGTGGCTCTGTGAATTTCACATAACTGAGGATCCAGGGATGACTTGGGGTGGGCATGTTGGGGATGAACAGTGCTGAATAAATCAGGAGAAAACAACTGGATGAGCCCAGGCAAGGGGCTCAAGTGTCTCTGCTACTAATCCCATTGGGTGCTTACACAGGACCAGTTCTGGTGAGCTGGAAGTTTGTGTTCCAGTGTAAGACACTTTTCTGAAACCTAGAATTCCACTGCAGCCATTAGTCGTGCTGAACGTCACAGCTTTCATCTCTATTGGGATCATGGGCCGTTAACTTGTTTCTCTATCTGCTGTTGCTGAGTACTTCCTGGATTTTTTGTTTTGTTTCCAAAGTCCAGAAAGTACAGCATTTTGCTAGGCAAATGACCAGTTTATTCAGAAAATTTTGATGAACAGAGTTTTGAAATGTCAACTTCTGTTTTTTTTTCCCTCTGGCCAGTTTCAGGTGCTTGTACATTTTATAAAAAACATACTGCAAATGCCTAAATGAATTCTGTTGTTACATATCCCCAGAATTGTTGCAAAGTACCAAAGTAACTGTTAAGGCTAAAATATTTCACAATCTTTAAAGAAGGGCATTATGATTACAAGAGGCATTTGAGTGTCAATTGTGAAATAATAAATACATACAATAGTTGGTATTTTTAGTGCACAATAGAAAACCGGAAAAAATTCCTCAGGTTTTGAAAACTTTTAATGGAGCTATGAGCAACTGCTGCTTGTTACCATGGTATGAAAGTCAAATATTGAAAGAATTTGGTGCATGAAGCCTCTAATTTATTAAAATCCTGCATAGTCTGCCTGCAGGGAGCCTATGTAAGTGTAAGCTCCACAGCAGTATGCAACTCCTTCTTACCTGTAAGCATCTAAAATTAGACATCTCACCGTCCCTAAAGAATTCACTGATGGGATTGCTGTACATGTCCTATTTTATTTGCTGAATATAAAGTTTGGGAATAGACATAGTACATTATTGCGTAATGAGAAACGGCCTAATAACTTCTATGTAGGATAACTGAATTAGGGCAATAAGGTTGATATTCATTGAAACAAGGCATCAAACAGGTCGAGAGAGACTGTGAAGAAGAATTATAAAAATAGCATACTTCAATCAACCCATGCTTCCTCTAAGTATAGTAACAAAATATTGGTGCTATAGCGAAACAGGAAGTGTAGTTTGATTGAAGTATATTATTTTTATAATTCCTCCTTCACATAGTCTCTCTTCCTTTGTTCATTACTGCTCCTCCACCTGTTTTGTACCTTTTGATATTACCCCCTCATCCTCGCCTGTTCTCTGTTCAATGTCTGCACCCAAAGCAGATCTCTCTGCTCCCCCGTGCCATTCTCTTTGTTCTGCTAACACTAGGCTAATACCAAAATGTTATAAGAGCTCTGTCTATCTCCAATTATGCCTGAGGCAAGAGGTTGCAACCTTTTTCTAATCCCAGTGGTTACAAATTTTGAATTTCACCATGTGAATGATATGGCCAATTGTGTAGACATTAGACTGTATCAGGTTTAAGTAATATGAGCAAGTCAGTCAGCCTTCTTTAGTCGGCACCAAATAACTGGTTTACTGCTAAAAACAAGCTGACTCAAACAATGGAGGAAAGGTAATTGACGGTTTGTTTTATACCAATATGTGTGTGTATGTGTGTGCGTGCGCATATATGCGAATATATCTATTGTTACAGAGAGTTCAAACCCCTCCGATAATTAAAATGAAACACCCAGAGATGCTCGCCTGGCCTCGTAATCTGCTAAAGGAAATGAGGAAAATTGGTATAACCCGCCTTTCACCACCTAATCTGCTATAAAGGAGAGGTTAAATGCAATTAAATCCTTTCGGTCACTCTATAAACAAGTAACAATTTATTTATCTAACTCTAAACAGTAAACAAATTAACAGACCTACTAACAAACCAAACAATTCCCTCTTAACTATTAACTAATCTGAATAAAACAAAATTCTACTGGTATGCTGTTCCAATAAATACAAATTCCACGTATATAAGCCAAAGTAATAAGAAGAAATAAATTAAAACTCCGACTCTCAAAACTACAGTCAGGATGCGTCTTCTGAAATGCTCTGCACCCTCTCTGCTGATCCTTAGCCAGGAATGCATTTCTCTGTCGAATTCTGATGTTAGGAATATTAGCTAAGATAGCACATAATCAGAGAGCTTAAAGATTTCTGTGAGAGCCAGCGTTTTACTCTTCTGATGGCAGTTCACTCTCACCCTGATTTTCAGAAAACCCTCTTCTTATGTACCCTTGATGACCTGTCAATTTTCTTATAATAGTTTTGGTCCTAGGTTGTCAATGCCATCAGATTTAAGTTCCGTTGGTTTTCAGTCTCTAAGTGCCTAGTTTAAATTAATTAGCTGGTATTCAAGCTGGCTGCCTTAATGTCAAAACAAGCCTAGGTTTCAACACTACAGCCAATTGATACATATATGTTTCAATTTCAGAACTGTCTGTACATCTGCAGCTGCTTGCAGACATTTTTGTCTAAATCTCCAAGCTTAGAAAAGCACATCACTTCTTAAAGACACTACGCACTCTTCTTTCCCCACCCGCAAATAATTTTTACAAACAAATTCCAAATTCCTGCCTTCTAATTCACAAGTACTCCACACAACTTTGCAGTACTATCCTTTTAAAAAAGACATGTAACTATCACTTGCCTACATTTATGAGGAAAGCATAAATTATGGATAGTTCCAAATGGTATTCTGATTCTGAAATTTTCTATGCACACATGTAGCTGGCACTGGGGTGTTTTCCAGGAACAGTTGTAACTTTGGATGAATTCCCTTTGCTCAAGGCATTGGGGCAGATTCCAAGAAAATCCCCTTCAGTAACTCTGAGTGGCACAGATGATTTTTAGCTGTCAGACTTGGCTGACTGGAGTGACAAAGCAAGAGGGAGAGCGCAATAAACTGTTATCTCTCGGGCAGACCACAAGTCCTCTCCCTTATCATTCAAAATTGCAACTGTCTTAACCACCCACAATTGAGCCAAGTGACCATTCTCTACAGATTCTCCGACTATTTAATCTCCCTGTTCCTTGCAGGTGCAGTATTGTTGTTACACGCACTGTATTTTCCTCAATAAAGTGTCCTTTATTTATAATTTCAGGACATGTTTATATGGGTTCCACGTTTTATTTTAAAACCAAATGTTTGGATCACGTTCATAATTCAGATGAAGTTATAATGCCAAATAATAAGGAAAAATGGGAACAAGTCAATATAGTAAAAGTTCCTTAGTTAGCAGTGATCAATGAACAGAAGTCAGTCATTCGGCACAGTCATACAACCTTTTGGCCCACTGTGTCTATGCTGACCAACACTCACTAAAGCTACACTGATCCCATTTCCCTGCACTTGTCCCATAGCCTACTATACCCTGACGTTTTAAATACTCATCAAAGTATTTCTTAAACATTGCGAAAATACTTGCTTCCACCGCTGTCTTGGACAGCATTTCCACATTATTTCACCCAGAGGGTGGTAGATTTTTTTTCTTCAGGTCTCCCCTAAGCCACTTACTCCTCACCTTAAATTTATGCCCTCTGGTCTTAGACACATCTCCTATGGGGAAGAGATTTTTACAATTTACTCTGTCTATGCCTCTCATAATTTTGTATACCTAAATTAGATACCTCCTCAGCCGCCTCTGCTGCAACGAAAACAAGCCCAGCCTATCCAGTCTCTCCTCATAACTGAAACTTTTCCTTCCAGGTAACTCCTGGATTCTCCCCTGCTGTCATGTCCCTTCAACAGTGTGGCAACCAGAACTGCGCACAGTATTCCATCTGTGGCCTGATCAATGTTTAATGAATTTGTAACAAGACTTTCTTGTTCTTATATTCTCCGTGCTGGCTAATTAAGGCAAACATCCTATACACCACCTTCATCACCCTATCTACCTGCTCTGACACCTTTAGGAATCTGTGGACTTGTACACCAAGGTCACTTTGTTCCTCAGTACTCCCTTCAGACCTCCTATTTATTGTATACAGAGAACAACAAATCCTGGCGATCACAGCGGGTCAGACAGCATCCACGGAGAGAGAGCCTACATGACTCTTCATCAGAGCTAAAGTGAAGTGAGGAGGGGGCAGCGTTTATGCTATTGTGTGTGTCCTTCCCTTAGTAGACCTCCCAAAATGCATCACCTTGCACTATTTGGGATTAAATTCCATGTCATTGCTGTGCCCAACTTG